ATAATAATTATCAAGTTGCCTCCCCACTGTCATGGCCCTATAGTTTTTATCAACTAACCAAAGCTAAACACACACACACACACACACACACACACACACACACACACGCACACACAACCACATAAAACCTTTCTCACTTTGCATAGAAGGTAAAGGTAAAATGTCTCATCAATTTTACTTCCTAAATTTAACTGTAGAAGAGACTGTGTTACACGCTCAAGACGTTCAAGGACAGTCAGATTTGCCAAAGAGCCTGCCATTTTTACTCTGCCTACAGCTATGACTTTGATTGAATTCTGAAATGAGCTGAAATGTCACAAATCCTCCCAATATGTTTGAAAATGAAAATTGGCCTTGAGGCCTGAGAGTTTTCTGTTAAAGGTGTGCCTAACACCTTGTGATAGAGTGTGTCAAAAATGCAACATAATTACTTCTTTGCATGCTCTTAAGCAAATGCTTCTGTCGGGAGTCTTTTCAGAGCTTAACTCAATAGGACTGACTATAAAATGTACCTCACTACCCTTAGCAAGAGAAATGTGTGTGTAAAATTACAATCTCCACAATCTGTTAGCCAGAAAGTATTACAAATATGTACACAGTTTGCATTAAAATATGGTATTATAAATTAAACGTTCTTCAAAACATTGTCGTCTGACGTTCTGATATTACCAGAAAATTGACAAAGGCCTCATTGAAACCCGTCTTTTGAAAATGTGTCAAAGATTTATTGCACCGTGCTACCTTTCAAACATTTAGTTTCCGAATGTAAAACATCTCACTTTCACAAATCTGCATTATACAAATAACTTGGGAAAGTGTGTCTGGCACTAAAACACCAGTTTGATCCATCTATCCTCTTTGGTCTCCTCTCATGTCTCAGGTAGACTGTATTTTCAGGAAATGTGAAAATGACTCCCCTTGCTGCTTAGTATTCACATCACGCAAAGTGGGTCTGTGTTCCTCATTTAGCGGCGTACTGTACAGCTGGGGAGCTGTCCTGCGCACAGCGGAGGCTCTATGCAAATGACTGGATTTGAATGGAGATGGAGGTAGACACAAAGCTCAATTAGCCTGGAGAGAGGAAGACGGAGGGTGGTGCGTGTGTGTGTGTGTGTAGGGGGTCTAAAGAGGGGGAGAGGAAAAACCCTTTGGCTGCTTAATGCCAACCTGAAGAAAACCAGCTCAGACACATTTTAATACAAACAGTTGCAAAAGCAAGAAAAATGTTGTAAGTTCTGCTGTTTATCTCAGAGGGGCTATGATGTATTTCAATCACTCTAGAAGGTCCTCCTAAAACACCCCTTAAAACCACACAAAAGATTGCCCTTTTCCTTCCACGAGGGTAAAATCCACATCCACTGTTGAATCAATTATCCAGAATAATAATATCAGGGACCATATGCACTCCCCAAAGTCAAGTTTCAATGCAGAGGAACTCTGCTCAACACATGTTGTTATTTTGATACACGTTCAGGACAGCACCAGTTTGTACCTGACCCAGTGTCGACTCAGCGTCCTTGGGGTGTCTCTGATCCAGACTGCCACCCTGGGTTACCATAGCAATGGCCATGCAAATAAAGGGGGGCAGGGTGCCTATAGGCAGGGCAAAAATAATTAGTATGCACCAATAGAAGGTTTGAGCACTGTTGTAATTGATGTATGCATGTATGAGGCATAACAAGTTAGCTGCATAGTGAAAATAAATGAGCTCAGGTCATCATCGAATGTCGAAAACTTTCTTTTCAAAATAGATTGATTGATTAAAAAAGCTGTAAAGGTAAAACAAATAATCTATAGACTTTGCTGCTAGTATAGAGATTTCTCTGAATGCCAAATATTGTAATTTCACATTAAGGCAATTGAATATTCTCAATAATGTGACAATTCCTCTACAGAAAAATCTTTTGGAAAGTTATTGCATTGATCCTCATCGTCCTAATCCCCATGGGCATCGGAATGGGGGAAATTCATTGTGTGCAGTTCAGTTGTCATGTCACGGTATGTTTATTGAATATATAGGTAAGCCTTGTGTACCCCCATAATATGTGAAATCATGTTTCTGTGCATTGCAAAATGGAATGACGTGTTTCTGCTGTTGACATTATAGAAAGAGGGGATTTTAAAAGAAAGAACCCCCAACATTGAAAGGTTGCCTTAATGAATAAATAGACCAAAGACAGATATGAAGTACATTGCAAGTGAACGTGTTTGTCTACAAGAGGCTGTGTCAGAATGGATCCACAGAAAGCAATGTGCTGCCAAACTGCCTCCGTGAACAGGTCCATGACGCATTGCGCGCACATACAGTAAACGACGCGGATCTCTCATCAATAATGCATGGCCGCTTCATGTTTATGCATTTGCAGGCAGAAAGGCTATGAGTGTTGTAGTCTTTCGCTTGCTTACCGAGTTTTGAAACCGAGCGAACGTTTTACAAAACAAACAGCAGCGATCGCGAAGGGCGCAGACAAACGCAAACATACAGAAGAAAACCGCCAGATACGCACGTACCTGTTCAAGGCGTCATTTCTTTGGTTTCGCCGCTAAAGCTGGAAGGACTTGTAGGTTTCATGAAGGAAATAAACGCGTATCTGAGGTGATATGCAAATTAAAGACTCCCGCTGAGTACACTGGCATTTATTATTCATAAATGACTCATGTTTATGCAAATATGGCTGTAAGGAAAACCGAAGGGGGTTGATTTCTGTTCCACACGCGTCCACTCTAATCCGGATTGCTATTGACAGTCAAATAAATACTAGGTCTATACTAGTGTGAATTAACATGGCTTTAATTTCTACAACTGTACTTAGGGCTTTAGGGAACATCTCCAACATATGGCACTTCCGCTGCCGAGGCCCCGCCCATTTTTAAAAAGTTAAGTGATGAGGTAATGGGCAGGATAAAGCTAATTGAAAACCTTTGTATTAATTATAATACAAACAGTTTAATAATCAGTTAGTACATGGCAAAACAAGCCAGACCGCAGAGTTGAACTTTTTGAAACTAAAACATAACAAAACAAAGGTTAAATCAGATAAGATAAGATAAGTACAGACTTTATTGATCTCACACAGGAGAAATTTACATGTCACATCTGGCATGGATATAATCACTTATGTACAATAAAGTGACAATTAAAAAGTGGCAATAAAAGAAACAGTGGCAATAGTAGTGCAGGTTTTAGTCTGACTTAAAGTGACTTATTGTACAGTCTGACAGTGGTGGGGATAGAGGCCCTGCGGTAGCACTCCTTCTTGCACTGAGGGTGTCTCAGTCTTCCACTGAAGGAGCTCCTCAGCTCCTCTACAGTCCTGTGCAGTGGGTGGGAGGAGTTGACCAAAAGGTCGTATAGGTCACAATGTGTTACAAAATCAATGAAATAAGCAGCTGTTTTGAGTCAAATTCACAAAGGCAAATTGTTATAGCTCTTTAACAAAGGTGTGAAATAGGGCTTTAGATTTCATGACTGTGCCCTTGTATGTGAATTAAATATTTACATAAAACAGTAAGAACTGGGTGTAAACAAAATGGCAGTTTATCGGCTTAGTTTTGTTTTCTATGGTGGAATCAAAACCTACCTCATACAGGGGTGCTTTCACCTTGAGGTCTTAAAGATAAAAAAATGGTCCTTAAATTACACGTAAAGTCAATAATTATTATTATTGATATGTCACAAAACTCCATTATTGGCATTAATTAATATGGTAGTTAAAAAGCTCAGAACATCTCAAATGCAGGCAAAAAAGTTTAACAATCTGGGTTGTTGGCCCATGCACAAGCCTGATTTAATAATGTGTCTCTCTCCCATGAAGTTGTGGCTTGTGTGAAGGCTTTTTCCCTGTACCCTTTGAGGAACTGGAGTGCTTCTCTTCAAAAGTGGGAGTCAGCAGACACTAAATCAACTTGTGAATAGATATGAGATTATTGTCCTTATTGATGCTCATGAAAAGTTTGTGAGACATTGTATTTTTTTCTCACCACTGTACTAGGATGATTTTTTTCAGTAAAAGACAAAAAAATCTTTAACTCAGCAGAACACGATGTTAAATCTACCATCAGAAAATCTGTGAAATCTTCTGTTCACAAACGCTCTCCATCTAATCTGACAGATCATACCCTGAAAGACTTGCGGCTGTGACACTTCTTTGTCACTTATGCAAAAATACAAGTTATTATTTTTGTTTATATTTTTTTTTTTACCATTGCAAGGCATTGTATATGTATCATTTTGGAGATGGAGGTTCAGGGGTCATTATTCATTCACTCAAACACCACTAATCGAGTCCCTATGCACCTATGCAGATAGGCAGCAGTGTAGCACCTGATGTTCCCAAAGGTCTATCGTAACACTAACCAGGCCCTGTCCTGTTGATCTGAGGGAATCAGACTTTCACATGCATATATATTATTCACTGTAAATGCGATAATAACATTTAATGTTTTAATAAATTCCCGTTATTTATTATCGATACAATCTACAAATAATATACATTAAACTGTTACTGGCATACATGTTTCAGTACAGACGCTTGCCTGCCACTACGGTCTATACAAATAAATTAAATAATACATACATATACACCCCTGCTCGGTTCCTTCAGCCATGGTTCTAACCTAATAGATCCAGATCCATGGTTCTAACCTGCAGCAGATACAAATCATACAAACCCGGTATTATTATAGATCCACGTACAAACCTCAAACAGGAGAAGGACCTGGCCTACGTCATCAAAAGCCGACTCTGTTCTTGTGCGACGTGTGTTGTTCACGCCGACATCGAAAAGAAAACTAAACCTTGTCATAACGGCTTAATTGGATTATTATCGTAGTTATTTTTACAGCATGCTTATATATTGTACTTATTTACGTTCATTATTTAAATGACATTGTAGAGAAAGACATGTTAAAGTTATAAATGCTAATATGCTAATGCTAACACGCTAATCGTATTCATTCAGCTTTGTTTTTGATGTGTTGGGAAGTCAGGAGGTGGAGTGATGTTTCACAGTAGTTCTCATAAAAAATACTGGATATTTAGGAGTGAGGACGAACTCGAGCTGTTAAGATGTGGAGCCAGTCAGAAGTTTCGCAAGAAATTGTTGGAAACCGTCAAGGTAACAGCGTTGACTTGTAGGTTGTCTGAGAGCATTGCTTTGACAAACGATTTCTTTTCCCAGCCTGTTAGTGATTCCATATTCTTGACGCGCCACGAAGAGGACGTTTTATTCAGATACTACGAGAAGAGGCTGCTTGAATTCTGCAATGTTTTCAAGCCTGTCATGCCTAAATCTGTTGTGGTAAGTCACATGTGTAAACCAAAATGACTATATTTGAAATTCCTCACCTATATTTAACCATGTAGGGTACAGCCCTCATGTACTTCAGAAGATTCTACCTCAACAACTCTGTCATGGAGCACCATCCAAGAATTATTATGTAAGTTGATCAAAATTCTATTAATTTTCCCCACAAGATATTTTTGACTGACTGTGTTTAGGCTGACATGTGCATACCTATCGTGCAAAGTGGATGAGTTCAATGTCTCGAGCAGCCAATTTGTGGCCAACCTTGTCCACGAGACACCTGCAGGACAAGAGAGGACAGCAGAGCAAATCCTCGAGTATGAGTTACTGCTGATTCAACAACTGAACTTCCACCTGGTAGTCCACACCCCTTACAGACCAATGGAGGGACTGCTCATCGACCTGAAGGTTCTGTTCACTTGTTCTGTTATTTTAATATTGATATTTTGGAAACTACTCCAAATCCATAACCATTGTGTCCTTCGGCGAAACGCTTACCTGCGTTTATAGAATAACTGGTCTGCTCCCAAAACGTTGCACTTATTTTATTTCCAGACCAGATATCCTACACTGGAAAACCCAGAGTCTCTGAGGAAGAATGTTGATGACTTCCTAACACAGGCATCTTTGACAGACATAGGACTGCTCTTCACTCCATCACAGATCGCATTAACTGCAATTCTAAGCAGTGCATCACGAGCTGGACTTAACATGGAGAGGTATGGCATGTCTAAAAGGCAAATCTTATTTTGTTTAAGGGAACTTTTTCTATTAAATGTTATGAAATTGGCTTCTTCAGTTACATTACAGAATGCCTGGGCTTGAAAGAGGACAAGCAGAACCTTTCAAAGATGTATGATTCTATGAAAAGTTAGTGGATGTAGTAGCACTATTTGAATCACCAGATGACATTGAAGAGAAGCTCATTTCTTTGAACTATCTCATTTTTATAGGAATGAAGATTCTATTGAGGAAATATGAACTTTCAAAACCAGAAGAAGTGAACACATACAAGCAGAAGCTTGAAAGGATACATGCTGAATATGTCACAAGCACAAGCAAGTAAGGGTGGCTTTTTACAGTGGTTTTCAGAGGATTTAAAGTGGGGTTTGCCAGTTTAAAAAAAAAAAAAAAAAAGTTATTTTTAGTCAATTCTTTAAGAAAATCAGAAATTATGACATAACATTACAGTTGAATTTCCTCATTGGTGTTCTTGTTTGTGTAGTTTAACTTAAATTAGAGAAACAGATTAATTCATGCAAGTAAGCAATCATTCATGCTGCAAGAAAGATATCCCTCCACGACTCATGAATTTGTATTTATTTCCAAGTTGCTGTATCTAAGATGCAAAAAGATTCATCATCAGGTAGAAAAATAAAAAGGAACAGCTGTATGATAAAAACAAAGTACTATAGCACGCTCCATCCATACTAATATCATCCATTCTACATAGCATAGTTGATATTGGAATCACTTCAAAAACATGTTTAGGCTCAATTGTGAGATTGCAGTCCTTGAAAGTCTTTAAAACACTTGGTGAAGTCGGTGAGGTCTGTGGTATCTCGAGTGCAACTACAGTAAACCATTTTGGGAACTATCTGTAAACAGTGGAGGGATAGCAGACAGTAAGGAACTGTGAATGCACACGTTTATCCACTCAGTATAGGTGATGTTAGAGCAGCGTGTATAGAGAAAGTAGGCCCACACACTAAGTTCAATCAGGGTTTAGACATGCATGTTACATAAGCCTGGACTACTTTTAGCTACACAAAACATTTTACAAGTTGTAAATATGTACTGACAAACATACCAGCATACAAACCAATGTAAGGACTGTTTGTTTTCTGGGCAACATACATGAATAAACAGAAAAAGGAAGTTATTGGTGAATGCAAGAAGGAACAAGTAAATAGTAAAGTGTGTATATAAAGGGTGTATATTAAGGCTTGTTGTCTAGGAAAGGTTACAATTCCCTGATGACAGCAGATAATGCTACTTCATTGCTTTGGATTCCTATTCACTCTCATTTTTATCCAAACATGAAATAATTTAAAGGTAAACAGGCCCATCTCCCTGTCATGTCTAAAACATTGAGAAGAGCTGTGGGAGGTCAGTGTTCAGATATGCAGCAAGTGGGTTCTCATAGGAGCAGAGGCCACATGCTCTATACAGACTCAGGTCTTCAAGCTGGAGGCTCTGTGGTTCAGTTACTGACTCTGCTGGAGGTCAGCCCACACTCACATTACCTGGATGGCAGCAGCCAAAGACATGATGGTGCACTCTGTCCTGTAAGATAAAGTTGACAGGTTTGTCACATCTATGAATGTATTTGGTGAAGGTGTAGGGTTTGGTATAGCTAAAACTACTGTTCAATTCTAAAACTAATGACGATGTATGGAAACTATGAAAGACAATTATGGAAGCTGTTGGTTTAACAATCATTTCAACATGTTATGCTTTTCAGCAAACGGAAAAGAGGATATGAAGAAGACGGGCATGTATCAAAAGAACCACGGATAATTGAAGAGGTACTATATATCCAGCATGTCTATATTTTATGTATCAGGTTTAATTTTGTATAATTTATTTTATTTTATTTACAGTTGTCTGATGAAGACCTAATGTGAAATGAGTTCAATTGACTGCATTAAGTTGTGAACTTAAGTTGTGTTTGTTTATGTTCCGATTCAGAATAAAGCATATTTTAAGGTAAATTGTAGAATATTTGATGGACAATACAATAGTTAAGTTGATCACTAGCACAAATAACAAATGCAACTACTTTACAAAATGTTTAATAAGTGCATGCATGTCTGATACAGTCTTGACTATTTGAAAATTTTACTGTAAACTCTTTCTTGGTCTCTGAAAAAGAATGGCAGAGTTTTAATAGAGATCAATGAAAGCTGATACAACTGAAAAAAAGGAATAAATTCATCTTATATTTCAGTCACTTATATATACTCATGATTCCAGCAAGAGAATTTATTCTTAATAAAAAATAGGCATACTTTTGTAAAAGACTATGCTCCAAACTAGAAAACAATGAAATGATGAAACACAAATGCCAGTCTTAGTTCTATGCAGATATTGTCACAAATCCGTCGTTAATTACAGTATAAAAGCATAATCCAGTTACAAGAATAGTGGGCAAAGAGGACAACCATGTCAGATTCCTTGTAATGGGGCAGAGCATACTTTGGCAACTTCAGCTGTTAACTCATAGCGAGTAACAAAAGACAATTTGGCCCTCACGGTGAAGGGACTGAAATGTACCCAAAAGAGAACTCTGAACTAGCACTCAAGTTAGTGTATAGCTGTTTGTGCATAGCTTTCTTGTAGCAAACAGGACAACAAACAGGTGGACGAGAAAGGGGGTTTGGCTACTGGAAGGACATGATGGAGATGGAGATGTTGCCATGGTGATGTGGGTGGAGCATGCTTGATCTGGTCCGGTCCTCTGGAGGGGGAGAGGGCAGTACTACCTGTTGCTGTTGGACATGGCATACTGAGCCTGTTTCTGCTGGAGGAGCTCTGTGATGGCCAGTAGCTTTTTCAACACGTGCTGGAGAAAATATACAACAATATTTTAAACGTTCATATAGTCTCAGAATAAAACACTGTTGCAGACACAAGTACTTTGTCTTCCTTAACACATCGCGTGTCAATGTTTTTTTTTTTTTTAACTGACCTATTAAAAACATTTACAGTGCATGGAAATTTAAAATATATACAATATAGTTGTGATAAAACGTGGACAATTTATCATAACTTGGCCTTTGGTGGTGATGAAAATACGTCTCAGACAAATAGGATCTTGTACAACAAAGCGACCTGGTCGTTTACTAGAATCAATTGATGCATGTCAGGTCAAAATCCAGGCTTTTTATTTTGTGGGTTTGTCACTAGGTGGCAGTCTTGCTAGGCCACAAAGAGTTGCAGAAAAAGATGGTGCTTTTCTGTGAGCCAATGGGGGATGAGTCTACCTCTCTACAAAGACAAATTGAGAGAGAGAGAGAGAAAGACACCACACATCTGGTCAGACACATTAGAAATAGTGACTTTGATCCTTTAACGTTAGCTCTTCCAATCATTGTGAAGCGTTGGATTGTTCACCCACTAATGGAGAACGTGAGCTGGGTTTAGAGACAGTCATGAGACAGCTTAGTTTTATACTACTGATGATGCGTTTTTACATTAGAAATCTTGTGTTTTGTAGAGAACTATGTCTGGGTCAAAAAAGTGTTGGGCCCAAAAGAAAGTGCACATATTTCAAAAAATATCCTGGATCTCAAGTTCTCCAAAAATGAACAAGGATTTTGTTGAAAACATGGCATGCAGAAAATAAGTTGTACCTACTGAGAGCTTAAAGTCTCTTTACAACCTTTAAAATGAGCCATGATATGTATCCATAGCTTTAAAATGGAATACACTCTGGCGTAACAAATGGTCAACCGGCCGGGGTGAAGCTTCCAGAAACAACATGCCACCCAGTGTGTAAAGGGGAGCACCCGACATGATCCAAATTAGCAAAGATCTCTTCCACACATTCCTTATCACTTATAAAGTCTGACCTGCTGAGCCCCTTTCTCGTTGCTCAGTGTCCGCAGCTCGTCTGAATGTGTGGCACAGACCTCATGCAGCGCGGCCAGGTCCCGGGACAGGTCTGTCCTAAAGTGCTCAGTGGTTTCAGGGAGTTCAGGAACATTCTGGAGAAAACAACGAAGCATTGAAACGCTTTCCAGTTGTATGTGAAAAAATAAATCAATAAATAAAACTTGGCTCACCCCTAACTCATCCAGGAACATAATCATCCTATGTTTGTTGTTTTTTATGAATGGGTTAACACCCTCCATATAAGGCTCCTGTTCAGTTGGAAATAATGGAAAGATTTACTTTGATTTTTATAATGTTCTATCTACATTTAAAGCTGGGATACCAAACTTTCAGACCACAAAAACAAAAATCACTTGTGTAATAAAATTCCTCAACTCTCTTTCAAAAGACTTTGGTTCTATTGCTAGTTTTAAAATGCATGCATTTTTGCCCTTGTCACATCTTCAGACAAAAAATGTTAACTTGCTAAGCCAATCAGCTCTCGGCCCAAAGAATTACAGAGCCCTGTGAGTTTCACTTTTTCTTAGTATGCAAGTATGCAAATTATAACATGTTTTCAAATAAGATGAAGGCATAATGTGTTTTGATTTGTTCACAAAAAAATTACGCTGACAAGGTTCTGATGTATAAATCATGTAAAAAGGTACCCCAGCTTTAATGAATATGTTTTAATACATACCTTGGCACCAAATTCTACCAAGTTTGCGAGATTCTGGACCGACTTAGCCACTAGTGTGAGGGTCCGGACAGCTGTTGTTGATGGTGGATCTGAAGATTACATAAGTGACCATTACATTACTATACATTTCACAAAGGTATGTGTCTAAACAGGCGGAAGACTCACCAGCAATTATATTGAACATTCTGGGATTGAGGATGGCTGGGCAGATAAGTCTTAGAAAAACAAAGCCACTATAAAACAAGGAAGATGAGAGTTGAAAACAATATAAGACTAAAAACACTGCTAGAAATGGTTGTGTGGACTGTTTATTTACCTTACTACTCTTGTTCGCATGGTGGTATTGGTGGGCCATTTCTGCTGTACGGACTTTTGCAGACAACCATAGATATATCTCAGCGTCCTAATGGGGGGAATGGGGTCATGTCGAGTCAGAGAAACAAAACAAAAAAACATGATTTAAGTTCTTACGGTGGAAGTATCTCAGCAGCCATGAAGATTTTCTCCACCAGTTCTGACAAGATGTTGAGCAGATGAGCAAGGTTGAGATTTACGTCCTCGTTCTTTTCAAGTTTAGATGGGTTTAGCTAAAAAGAGAATACACAATACAGTATAAAAACTTAAGCGCAACAATGCATTTTCTTGTTTTGTCTTTTTACCTCACACGACTGTTTGCTTTCCATGATTTTAAGAATAGAGTCTTTGAGCGCATGGTGGACGAACGGAGTGGCCGTAGCTTTCATGTACTGCTCCATCAGCGTGCTGGCCAGCGTGGTTGCCCGGAACAAAGTCGTGGCCTCATCTAGAAATAAACAACAGGGATGCAACGTACTGATGATGGTAAACTTACCTAGGCAAATGTGTTCCAATGTAGCATCTGCTAACTTACTTAAAGCTGGCCTACCTAACTTTTAAACCAAAATAAAGTGTGTTTGACCAGTATAAATGAGTGATATGAATGTGAGGTTATAACAAATTGTGCACGTGAAGACTTGTATGTTGGCCAAATGTAAACTGTACATCCATGAATGTTATTTTTAATGTAATATCATAACATCAGCCTGCCCAGGGACTAAGGGTGGGAATTAGCTCTTGGGCTATAACCTGGTACAATGAATCTTTTCCTTTGAGGTTAATGTTTATTGTACACTGTCCCTGTCATAAATATTCTAAACTAAACTAAATTCAATATATTCATCTGACTTATCCCTCACTCTCATAACAGTTTGGTTCCACCACTTGTTTTCACACGAATGCATGCCCAACGAGGCAAATGGAGACTTTTTCTTACAATAATACAGAAGATTAAAAAACAAAAGTAGTGTGGTCTGATTAGTTCAAACTTTTTATTTTATAGGATTTCTGTTGGCATGGCTTATTTATGGTGTGGTGGGGGGTGGGGGTGGGGCAAGGTAGGTACCCCAGTTTTAATGTTTTGTTTTATCATATTATAAATTAAGCATGTTTGAGATATTTAATTCGGTGTGCATTTATGTGGCCATTCTTGGCAGTTTTGTATTATCTGCTTTGGTCTCAACTTGAAAGCATCTCTTGAAAATGCAAAATTAAAATAAACAACAACATATTAATAGCTTGCACTTGTTTGTGTCTCTTACCCTCCATGTTGATTTCTCTGTCATTGAGAGTCCTGAGTAATGGAGCTTCAGCATTCTCATGTCTAAAGATGCGCAGCAACAAGCTGGCCAGCAGGGTGCGATCTTGGCCACACACATGGGCCAGAGCGTAGATAACGTGGAACTCTTTCTGCAAGATCATCTGAAAATTGGCACAAAATCATAGAAAAATGTATAGATTAGATAGAAACTGAAATAGTATTAAAATTCTGTTTTAAGACCCTGACCTCTTTGAACTCGCTGTACTCCTCTTCGGGCATGATCTTCTCCATGGAATAACGAGCCCGAACCCGCAAAGACCCCGGCTCGATGCCTTTCAGAGGCACGTGGGAGCTGAGAGGGAACCACTCGTCGATCATCTGGCCTTTTTGTAAACGATTTAGTTGACAACGCATAAACACTGGGAAAAGACAAGAGAAGGTGATGCATTACTGACATACAATAATATACATGGCATTTATCCTTCAAAGCAACACTTACGAATGTCACTTTCTTTACTCTTTTTTGTTTTGTTGCTCAGACTTATTTCAAATCTGTTAATTTCATTCGATAAGTCACTGAAAAAAAGTGGCAATACAGGTTTGAATTACACACATTACACACAGAAATGGTACAAAGTTGACGGTGAAACTCACTCAAAAATGAACTCCTCTGTGAACACTGGATTCTGTCCCTCTCGCGGGTGTGTCTTTGCTACTTGGACACTGTTCAGGTAAATGTTACAGTAGGGGTTTGTGAAGTACTTGACGGGCAGCTTGTGGGCCTCTTCCACATACAGCACCAAACTGCTCACCTGAGACATGGGCACATACTGTATGTGTACATGGATGCTTTATCAATACATGTTTTACGTCGTCAAAACAGCTGTGTACCTGTCTTAGCCTTTTGTTTGTCGTGGGTGCTGTTGCTTTTCTTAGGTTACTGCAAAAAGTTTGAAGGCATTTCATCCAATCCTACAAGAAATTAGATTTAGAGATCTTTTATTTGTCCCACAGTGGGAAAATTGTGTTGCATCACAAGTTACATAACAGTAGGAATGAGGAGCACACGGCACAAGATAAATCATAAATAATAATAATAATAATAAATAAATGAATACAAATTTAAAAGAACAATTTCAATGCCATGGTCAAAAAGAAAAAAGAAAAAGACTAAGTGATTAAAAACACTTGGCCTCTTACCTGTGCATGTTCTGGAGCTTCACTAGCAAAGTAGAAAATGTATTGCTCCTCACTAAAGTGCTGAACAACAATCTGAAAACAGTTTGGCCTTAAAAAGAGAATAAGAAATGTTAATGTTGGCAATGAGATCCCCGAAAAATGTCTCATATAGAGATGAACCAACCTGCCGAAGAGACTGTCGTGTACCCCATACACCGAGCACACGCTGAGGTCGATCAGCCCTTTGGGTTTAGTGGCTCTTTTCTCACTCTCAAAGTAAATGAGCTGGGCATCATTTCCCTCCAGAATGAAGTACAGGTTTTTCCAGCGTTTTCCTTTTCCTAATAATGATACAAAAAATTAGAAACGGTGTGACATTTTTTACAATTGTACGGTCATCAAATCAAAAAGGCAAACCCATACCTTTGTTGAACAGGAGGTAGCCTTTCTTGACAATATTTTTGTAGAAAGCATCTTTTGGTTTCCGCCTGATTGTGTTGTAGATTTCTCTTCCATCCACTGTGTCATTAATGACTTGTTCCTGGTGCTAAATAAACCCATCATTAGAACCCAGTCAATGAAATATGAAGTGTGAAAAATGAAGTGTTGACACAGTAAAGTGTCAATTATAACCCAAAAACACACACTATCAGAGATTGGAAACAGTATTTCAAACACTGACATATCAAAGAGATGGTGTGGATAAAATAAAAAGGAAATATTGACAAATTATTTTGTCAATATTTGAGTCAAGTCAACTGTGACGCCAAAAATAAAAGGTCATCAGTGACAAAGCAGCAGATGAACTCCCACAAGATTAATATGGCTAACACAACATACGTAAATCACTGGTTTAAAAAAAAAAAAACAAACAAAAATTCATTTTGTTCCTAAAAATTTAACTTGAATAAAAAATTAAAATAATGCTCGTCTGATTTCACATTTAACTTGTTTACTATATGAAAAACTCTATCAAATGTGGACATCTGAAAACATGTTATAGGAGGACACTTATGAACCCTTATGTGAACAAGCCCATATAAGAGCACTCAGATTGCACACAACAAACAGGATCTATTTAAGATAATGAAATAAAATTATAAATAATAAGATGATAAAAGAAGATAAATAAAACTCTGGAGCTATAATGGCACATGGGTCGACGATATAATTCTAGTGAAGTCCACACTGTAGTCAGGTATTTACAGATGTTTTTGTACTTTAGCAGCAGAGAATATGACCAGAAAAATATAAAACCTTCTGAATACAGACCTGGACTGATACTGGGTCTTTAAGGTTGTAGCCCTCCACGATTTGCTCTTTTTTATAGTGGTCAATAATGTCATCGACACTGCCATGAACACAAAAACACTGTGTTGTCTGTATTTATATGAACATGTTGAAGAAGTGTAGAGATGAGTTTACACACCTGTTATAATACCTCCCTCCCATCATGTACTGATTGTTTGGAGTGGGAGAGATCTTAAACCTTTGGATGTTTTCATTAGTGCGAAAAAACAGGGAGTAGTCTCCGGGTGTGTTGTCAGACGGACGCACGAGAAAGCTGCACACCTGGCCCACTGAAATAAGGAGGGCACGTTCAGCAGTTTGTCCATATGTACAGGTCTGAGGTCCTCACAGACTGCAACAGATTAAGATGAATGTAGTTGTGTGTGAGAAAAGTCAAGGTGAAGCAGACCTGTCATGAGGAGGTTGTACGCCTCTTGTTTTGTAATTTTTCCATGGTACCAGCTGCACACAAACAAAAAACATTTGAAAAGGGGGTGAATAGAAAACAAAAAAACAATTAAATTTGGTACTACTTCGTACACTACGGCCTAAAATATGAGCCTAATTGTTGACTATGAATTAAGTAAATCTTACAAATACACACACACACAGATAATGCATATTTTTTTGCACCACACAACTTACATTTTTCCCTCATGTGGATCCTCCTCCCTTCCCTGAGAAGTGAGAAGACAAACAGTAGTGAGTAGAACAGAACCACCTCCAGTCTCTTGGTGATGCTTATGTAGTGTGCAGGATGTGATGCCTGAAACACTGTAAAAGCCTCGCAGAGAGCGGCGTCATGACAGAGCAAAGTGAGGCCAAAAAAACTAGGTGCCTAAGCTAAGATTTAATGTGTGTTTGTCTTCATCAATCTCTGTAGCCTGCTTGGAAATGCATGTCTTAAGTGATGCGTTTCGGACACAATAGTGCGCTGAAGTACAGGCATGTCCAAAAGAAACAAGAAACAAACCACTTCTTCCACAAGATCTTCCACAATAAGACCCTGCTCCTCAGTGCGAACATTGGACACCCACATCCAGCCATCGTCGAGTTCATTGTGAACAATAAACATGTCCCCTTTAAGGAAGCTGCAGATAAAAACATAACTTGATTACACACGCACTGAACTATACATGACACACCAGCAGGGGGCACTAGTGTCTCACATTGCATATATTTCAGGCACAACTAAACCCAGAAGTTCCATGACATTTAGATACATGGAGAAGGGTAAAGACAAGTCCAGCCCACCTGATTTCATCAGTATCTGGCACTTTGGTGTATGGAAGGATGGCCCTCACTCTCCTCCTGTCTTCAACAGGCTGTGAAACACACACAAGTCATAACGACAACTTGGTTATTGATGTAAAGACTGTTTCAGGAGGAAATTTAGTGATAATACAGGCTATGGTTTGCCCACATACAGTACAGTGTGGTGGATTGAAATAGTTATGCTTATGGAAAAGGAGAAATTTTAAAACCTCTGGAGGCGCCACTGGAGACAGCAGTTTCTCCCCTTTGAGTAGACAGGACACATAGCTATAATAACCAATCAGGTCCGAGAGGGATGAGAATCGTCGCCCACCAATGTAATAGTCCCCACACATGGCGATTATCCTGAAACATTCAAACGGAAGATATTATAAATATGTGCTTTTTGTTTTTTGTCAAGCACTTTGTATCTCTCAGTTCATACACACAGAAACTCAAATAAACTTGGCTTGCCATTAACAAGGGTTGCAAACAATAAAACAATGAAACCCTTGTTGTATACAGTGTATTGCATAATATGAATTTTATTCAAGTTAATTTTGAAGGTTTGAAAAGGGTGTTTAGTGTATGAAAATAATGAAGTGATGCTCTTGACATAGAGCCCTAGTAGCAGAAGCAGCAGTAGTACTGCTCATGACTGTTTCAGGCTACAGTCAGGAACATAATGAAGACTTTTCCTCATTGCTGAAGTAAAGTGTCTGGAGTAGTGAACAGACGGAGCAGACTGTTTTGGTGAATCTTGTCTGGTTTCATCACCACTGAGCGAGTGAAGCAGCCCCACGGTGAGGCTGCTGGTCCTCCTTTGACTCATGTTTAATGAAAGGGGGCAGAAACGGCACACGGCAAAAATGTGTCGTGATTTTTTCAGAAAAGTACCGTCACTTCTGATGAGGACATACAAACTTGCAGAGAAAGCTTCACAGACAGTTTACATTGTTTTCTCACCACCCCCACAATTAAAGTCCAGGCAGAAAAATTGGACATTCAAAATTGCATTATCATAAAACCAGTAACCAGTTATATCCACAGTATTTAAATTAATAATTAATAAACAAATAGCCAGTTTTAATTTTCATTGAATGCTATGAAGTCAGCAAAGCTCTTCAAATGGATCTTCTGATCTTCCCTCTGGGAGGAGATCTTGTACATCTAGATACAGGACATCTTGCTATGCAAACGGGTTCTTTCCTCGACCTGTTACCATTCTGAACGGACCTCTGTAGTTGGTTGCTCTAACATTTTATTGCTTTTAGTAGAGGCTTGTTTTTAGGTCTCCTTGCTGTTTAAGTGATAAATGTCCCAGAGGATGTAGATGATGTGAGGTTTGACTGTAGGTAGCTGTGATGTGTAAATAACAAATTTAACACAGTGGGACGACCACGTGGAAGACTGATCCTGTCAGACCTCAGAAGCTAAGCAGGGCAGGGCCTGGTTAGTACTGTAATGGGACAACTGAGTGCCCAACTGCCATATCCTTAGGCCAGACACTGTGTCTGACAGGAGCGACTGATGGCACATTCTGGTTGACAAAAAGAAAAATTACAATAAAATAAAATCTATTTATTGATGTCGACTAGCCCTAGTGCTGATATGTAAAACAATATAATGAACTTGTTTTCAGTGCAGTGTATTGGCTGAAGTTACCTGAAGTGACTGACCACGTTAGTCATGCTGAGAAAGGACAGGACGAAGGAGCCAGGCCGTCGGTCACTCTCCCTGATGAGGTAACTACCAGGGGTTCGAGCCTGGCGTAAACGCTCCTCTGCGATGGTACGGTCCAACTTGCCATGGTACCACCTGAAAAACACAACATTTAATAATACAGAAGGGACAGCTCTTCTTGCATTCTTGGCCTGCTTTTTAGTGTACTAGGAGCAGTTGTAGTTTATTTGAGCAGTTTTATTGTGTATTTTTCTACAGGTATATATAATTCAAGAAACAAAGCTCAAAAGGAGAAGGCAGAAGCAAAGAGTTGGACAAGTGCTGACATCTTATTGACCGACGCTCATGAGGCCCATGGCCAGTTGTTGTAGACCTCACAAAATCATGCGTTCATAGATTTTGAATGCTAAAATGTTCTAAATCAGCTTTATGTTACACATTGTGTAATATGTAACACAACAAAAGGGGATGCAATTATCAGTGTCATACGGGCTGTGCAATGGGAGTCTGTTGGGCATGGGTTATACAATGGGGGTTAGTGTAATGCGGGTCAGTGCAATATAGAATGGTGCAATATGGGTCAGTGCAATATTGGGTCTGTCAGGTTATGTGCAATATTGGGGTTTGTGCAATACAGTCGATGCTTTCCCGTTACTGTTTTTCTATATTGTCCTTTGTTGTCCACTCTTTTTATTGTTTGTTCTAACAAGTGATCACTGTACTCGTCCTTGTCTCTCTGTACATAGTCTGTATATAGTGTCTCTGTATGTTTTTACTAACCTATGCTTAACACCAACCTGCCAGGGGGTCTGCAGATGGAAATTAGCCTAAGGCTATAATCTGGCATATTTACATTTGTGAAAATGTTCATTAATATGTATTGTCCCTCCTTTTCAAAAAAAAAAAAAAAAAAAAAAAACATGTTTTTTGAACACTTCAAAGTATGTTTGAAACTCTGGTTGGTTGAATTTTGGTAAACAACACTGATTGAATATTTGGCAAGTAAACTAATCCAATAATCACAGGACTACATAACTACAACATTTATTGAAAACATAAGACACCAATGAAACTCGTGTGACCTCTGAATCACCTTGAGCAGTCATATTTAAAAATTCATGTTTTTATTTTGAGTCATTTTAGCAAACAACTGAAGGATCAGAAAAAAACATCTCACGATTCAGTGAGTTACTGAGTGCTTTGAAGACACAAGTGTGAAGATAACTACAGGAAAGGCATCTTTGTTTGAATAGTTGAAAAGTTCAGTTCTTTCAAAGTAGAATGCAGAACAGGGAGCTTATTTTTTTCAGCAGGCGAAGGCAGCTAAACGTGACACACTTTAGCGACTTTCAGTAAAATATTAACAATAACTATTTTCAAATTCAGGCCATTGCTCATGGCTTTCATTCCGACCACCACGAGATGAGCCCTGTGATGGAGAAGATGATTGGGAACAGGAGACCACTCCGAGATCAGACTAGATCAGACTGAAAGCACCAGGGGAGCTATTACTATTCCTACTGTAACTGCAATCATGTCTCTGGAATAGGGCTGGGCGGTATAAACGGTATAAGCGGTAGACGGTATAAATTTGGCCCACGGTAGAGATTTTTGTTATACCGGCATATTGCGATACGTCATTATGTCATTAAATTGCGCAGGCTCTGACGCCAGCAGAGAGCACCAAAACAAACCGGCATTCAGCAGCATTAGCCTAGCATTAGCCTAGCACTATTGGACACCACTGGAAACAACGAACAGCACGGCATTAACACCGTGTTTCTGTCTCTGTATTGTTGTCACAGCGGCCCCAGCAGAGGTAAATACACACACAGTAATCACAGTTTAAGAGTCTACCTTTTGGCCAATCGGTGTCAAAGGGGCGTAAGCTCGAAGCGCCAGCGTGAGCCAAGATCCATGCGTGTGCCGTGTCCACAGCATCACAGCAGAAGTTTGGGAAAGTTTGCGTCAGATTCGGACCTCCGCGGTCAATATCTCACGAAAGCTACTTTGTTAAACAAAATTATTTGTGCCAAAATGATCATTTACATCAATTGTTCAAATCCAATGCGCTGTTTTAATGAACATAAAATCCATTGAATCATCCAGCGCAGAGAAAAGCGCTTAGGGAGCGTCAACAAATGGCAAGACCAGCTTTGTAAACAAACAGCTTTTACTGAAGTCATGCACCTGCACAAAACTCTCAGACACTATAAATAATGACCATGTCTAACTCCTACAGACTTTGTTTTCATCATTTGTGAGTTTTTTATATTTTAAATGAATGCATATGTTTTTCTTTTTAAAAATTGCTTTTACAGTGAATGGTATTTACTGTAACATACATAAATAATGTATGTTATTTGTCTCTTTATTCGTCTCACAACTGATTTTCTAACTCAAAAAATATATATTAGATTCTAATATATAAATAATTAACAATCTTGACTATTTTATGCAAGAACCTGCTAGACCTATATTGAAATTCACACACCAAATTATACCGCGATATATACCGTCTACCGTCTATGACCCAAATTATACCGCGATATGAATTTTAGGCCATATCGCCCACCCCTACTCTGGAATAAGATGGTTAAAGACAGGCTACCACATTTTTTTTTGTTTTATGAATAAATATTTGTTCTTCCTCAAATTGGATCAAAATTAGAAAATATTATGCAAACTTTTAGAGTGGAAAGCAGTTTGGCCAAGCAAGGGCAGGAACTAGGTGATTTAAAGTGCTACCAAACCTGTGAGTGAGCAATTAGTAAATGTCTTAATTAGCACCAATGTTTGCAAGACGGCTTAAAAGACATCAGTCAAACAAATCAAAACGTAAATGAATAGGGCCCATACTTTTAATGAAAGAAGCTCCAAGTTACTAACACATACAATCAATAACATGTATTAATCTTTGTTATTGTGACATCCCGAGTTTGAGCAGTTTGCAAAGCCGTTTGTATGAAGAAATGTTGATGTGTTGTGTTGATAGAGCTCTGTGTCTATCGCTGTAGGAATGCCTTGTCGTGTCAGTACATGACCCACTGGAGTACAACTCAAAGATGCAGGGGGTTCATAATGTACCTATTTGTATTTCGCCTTCTACTATGTTTCACAAAATCATTGATATCACCCGTCTACACATCCACAAGAATGTCAAGTTCAGGTCCGGCTCAGAGGCACCAATCCAGCAATCATCATTTCCGATACTGAAAACGATACTTGAACTGGTACTAAATAACTAATAAGTACCAGTTTGTGACGACTGAAAATAGTCAACTTCACAGCTAACTTACTATAAAATGATTATTTATCATGAAAATAAACACAGGCCACATGCATGATATTCGGAGTCGGAATCAACTGGTCACTTTTTGAACCTCATTTTCACAAAAAATGTAACGATTCATCATACATTTCACTGCTTGAAATTAGGAGTGTGACGATATATCTATTTTTTGATATATCGCGATACTTTCTCCCACAATCAATTATGCATTTGCCAAGTATCGATTTAAAAAATAAATAAAAATAAAATAGTATCAATACTTAATATATGGCTACATTACACATCTCCATTCCATTTATCATAAAATAAAGTGTATTTTTTCACTTAACATTTTTCTAGTTTATGTATGCCATATATTGGCATGATGGTATATTGCTGACCAATATATCGATAACCGTCATATCGTGATATAATCGTTATCGTGATATAATCGTTATCGTGAGCTTTGTATCGTGTATCGTATCGTGAGGTACCCTTAGGTTCCCACCCCTACTTGAAATCAGAACATTTAACATCAAGACACAATCTACAAATCTGAATAATATGGCTTTAAATGTCATTAACTCATTTACCAACCAATGAATAGTTAAAGACCCAAACAGGATCATGAACTGGTCATAAACCAGATAACAGTCCAACAATTTTTTTTTAGATTGCTATCGATCTTCCACACCAGTATCGGTGCATCCCTATTCATAACTTTAAAAAAGCAACATCAACAAACAGACACATCCAAATCTTCTTATAATCATCATCATCATCCTATTCCTAATGCCCTGGCTGTAAAAATGTACTATACCTTATGACATACACTGCTATCGCTGTACGTAGAAGTGGGATTATAAAGGTCATACAGTTGACATTAAAAAAGAGCCACATTTTATAAAGTATTGAATCCAACAGTGTTATAATTTAGGGGACTTTAAATACTAAGGATGATCAGGCAGGCAAGTATTTAGAGAAGCTTCTAATGTGTCCTGCCATGATATTTTTATTTTAGTATTGGTACTCTGCACTCATGAGTATCACTCAGAATACATTTTCTTTGGGCTCAGTGCTCAGACTGAGACGACACATCTCAGATACTCATGGCGGAGCCAGGCGCGAGTGGTGATAGTGGCGGTGCTCGAAGAAGCGAAAAACCTGAGATCTACAAAACTTCCAGTGGGTTAATTATTGTTGAAGATGAGTTGTTAAACTTCCTTGCTGTCAAAATGCATATATTGACGCAAGATGAACTTATAATGCTCGCAACAAGACATTTCTCGTCGGAATGGATTGAGGACTCCAAACGAATCCTGTTTGACGTTTGTCCTAAAACATCTCTGCGCAACATTGCACACAAAGGCCCGCAGAAGGATATAAACAACATCAAGGCTTGTTTGAAAGTGCTCAATGAATCTGGCGAAAACATCCCTCGGTTTGTTTCGCATTATTTGGATGAGCTGCCTATTGTTGGATTTGGGAGTCTGGACGCCTCCGCGCTTCTCAGCCGGGTGGAGCAACTCAGCCGGGACGTCCTGTCAGTAAGGCTGGCGTCCGAGGAGCAGGCTAAAGTTAGCGAAAACCTGCGACAAGCTTCAGAGGCTATCGAACGCCGGGTAGGACTGATTGAGGGGGCTCAATCCAGCCCGGATTCTAGCCTAGAGTCCAGTGGAACTATGCGCGCCCCTGCTGTGTGCGTATCGGACCCAATTGCGGCGCAGAACCGGGCGGGCATAAGCACTGAGTCGGGTGCTAGCGCCTCAACTCGGGAGTGGACCACTGTTGTCAAAACGGGCCGGCGACTGAAACAAGGGCCTCAACTGAGCTCGAAACCACCCCAAGCTGCAGGGAAAGATCG